CTCAAGTGGTGGTCCGGCGGAGCAACGATGTCAGGCGGTGGTCCGGTGGAAGTCCGGCCGTGGTCGAGGAGAAGCTTCTTCCTTCTCTTCTTCCTTCGTCTCCTCTTGCTTCCATCCCCTTTCAATAGAAATGAGGGTCTATTTATAGATTTCTGGAGTGGCATGGCCTGTATAGGTGAGAGATCAAGGGTAAATGGGGAGTGGACCGAGTAGTTGGATGGACGACCGATATTGAATCCCTTAATTGTGGACCATTCATTAGACAATTGAAGGTCTTAATGATGTTGGAATTTGGCGATCTTGGGCTCGTTGGATTTGTCTCGTCGAGCCGCTCGATTCGACTATAAGCATGTCATGTTTGGAAACCGTTTGGTAACCCAAATTGTGGTTCAAACCCTCCAACAGTGCTTCAGACCCTTGATTTAGACCCATTTGGGTTCGGATTGAGTCAAATTTGGTGTTGTTGGGTTCGTATTTTTGAGACGTTCAGTTTGACTGTAAGTTTGCTGAAATCGGAGTTCATATGGTCCCAATTTTAATTTCGAAAGTTTCAAACTTAATTTTGCATCGAGATTCGTGCCCAATCAAGATTATTTTTTAAAAAAACGTATCAAGTTTCATTCAAATAATTATATAATTAGATAAAATAAATCATATTCATAAACTTATAATCATTCATAAAGCAATAAACATTTATGATAGAAAATTTATAATGGAAAGATAGAAATATGATCTTTTATTTATAAACATTGTTCATATCTAAGAAGATTTATATATAATATTCATGACTTCCATCGGTTTAGACCATAATGGTAAAAGATAGTATTTATATTACTAACCTAAAACATATAACTTATCTCGAATCATCTCCCACTCTTCTCAATCCTCATGATTTTTTTGAAACCTAAGTATGCATAAAATATAATAGAATGAGCATATAGCTTAACATTACATAAAGCCTATCATATGATCCAACGCATGATAAAACAAATAATATAAATGCTACCAATCTTTAGTTGTAAATGAATTATATCATGTATGAATTTAATATGAATATTAATTAAAACTGATGATCTTTATAGCATTTTGATGATTATTAATTATTGAATGTTTTTCCATGATTAAATATTTGAAAGGTAAATCTCATATATCCATAATAAGAGTTAGCTAACTTTTTGTGAAACCCTTTAATAAAATAAAGTTAAACTCTTACAATATTGAGATGGCTTTTGATGTAACAGATGTAATTTCATTAGAAACTTCAGAGTTAAATGTGCTCTCGTATTATAACAGTCATGGGATGAATGACTTACTGGGAAGTTACATCAATGGGACAAAACTGTGAGACAATAAAGTAAAGTAGATAATATCTTAATAGTTAAGAGTTTGAATTGTTACAGTTTGTGTTGTTAGCACTAGGACTTCTACATTGTCAAAGTTGTCATGCATGGTAGAAAAGACTTCCATCGGGATATTACATCGTCAAAGTTGCCCAAGAGCACCATGGGGTCCATTCAGCCCCTTGTACTAGTTGAATTAGGGTAGCTTGAACTTCATCATTTAAAACTCTTTCATGATCTCTTATAAGAAAAAATGGGAGGAGCTGATCAAGTTGAAGAAAAATGGATGGTAAAAATAGGGTTCCTTCATTGGATACTTCCCTCAATGATTGATAATGGAGAAACAAGTATGGTGATGTTTGGTGTAGTTTAAGTTATTGAAATTACCATGTGACACCATCTTTTGCACCCAATTTGCATCATTTGGAGGCAAAGTTGAGAGAATGACATAATCAATAGCATCAATTAGAGTTACTATGATAATATGGAAAGCAATTTGAATTCGGAGGCCTATTTTTTGGAGAGCTATTGGAGCTGTGACATAGTCATAGAAGTTTTGTTAAGATACGAGGAATCCTCATCATCTCAATCAATAAAAGCGAATGAATATGAAGTTAGAAGTGGCATATATGGTTATGAAAACTAAAATGTACTTTCATTTATTTTTCAACCTTATCTTATTGGTCTCAATAAGAGCACTAGAGATGTGGGTGATGGAAAGATGACTGAAAAAAAGGTTGAATTTAACCTAACTTTAGTTCACAGTGAGATAAGTAAATGCGAAGGAGAAGACATCAAATTAGAGAGTTAACTCCTTAATTAGGCTTATTTTCTAATGGAAGGTTGTATTCATGATAGAGTACACAAATAACACATAAAAAGGAAATAAGGAAAAACATATAGATTTTTAAGTGGCTTAAATATTATAACATACATCCATTATATAAGAGGCATGCATAAGGAGATGCCTTACTAATCAAAGAGGAAATTTCAACAACTCTTCTTCTAGGCTGACTTTATCTATGAGTAGGTGGTTAGCTTAAATATAGAGCTTGAGTTCTTATAGTAGTTGTGTAACCCCCTTATTTTAGTGAAAGATTAATGTATTTATAGGCATAATGTTATGCTTGATGATGTAAAGCACTATGGTTAATTAGCACATTTTGGAAGTGAGAATGTCATGAACCATATGTTATAGTAATATGAGAATAGTTAGTCATTCTGAATATAAGACATTGGTGCAATAAATGACAACTCATTTGACTGGATTGGAGCATAATTAAAGTGTCAAAGAAGTGCATATGAATCATTACTCTATGATTTAAGGCATGATCACGTGGCATTCTCTAGTACTCGAATAGACTCTTCTAATTCATGTAGTGAAATCGGTTCATCATAAATGAGAGATCTTTCTTATATGCACAAGAGTGTAATTTTTTTTATTTTTATGAATGGATCATAACTGTAATTTTGTACAACTGTGTATGTGTTTGTATTTTTAAGCTGGAGGTGTTGTAAATTAAGATAGTTTTCAGCAGTTGATTTTAATGGTTTTCTTTCTTGAAGATGGAGCACTGAAGAATAAAATCTCCAATTCATCATAGCAGTAATAAAATTGTTTTTTTACTTTATAAGATTTTTATTTATTTATTTATTTCGTCATTGTTTGATATGTTGGATAGAATTTTTGATCGAATATAGAGAGGCTTGTGTTTTGCACTAATAAAATTAGGGGAATTTTTTAGTCGAATTAATTAATCTAATTAAATTTGAGCTCGAACTGGTTTTATTATGAGAGAGAGTGATTATAATTTAAGTTAATATTATAATATAATGGTAAAAAGAATGAGAGATTATTTAAAAAAATTATAATGAAACATTTAATGCAAAAAAGAAATATGTATTTTTTGAATATTTTAAACAACTTGTGATTAAAATTTTGAATTTTAATATATTTTAAGTAAATTTTATATTAAAATTTTTAAAAGAATTTATTGGCAAGTAAGAAAATTTATAGCCAAAAAATTCTTTTTTTTTTATTTGAAATGACCCATGTTTTATTCAATAAGTATTTATTGGAGTTTATGGTGAACAAAATTACTTTGAAATACTTTGAATTCGAATCATAGTTCAAACATGATTTGATCAAATTAGACTCAAACAATCATTTTGAGCATTTTCTTTAAGGAAATAGATGAAGGCAATGACTATGGAATTGTTGCAACAGTTTGCGACCTTTGTTGGGTCTTATGATTTGCGTAAGTTGGGGGGATAATTATTACGTCCGGACAAAAAACCGAAAATCCAGACGTATACCGAATAATACCGAGTGCTCAATACCAAGTTTCAAGTGACATGACGCGTGATTGTTGATCTCTGGATGATTGCTCCCTATTTAGGGCTGGTGATAATCAAAAGGATGAGATTGCTATGATAAAATCATATGGTTCTTGCTTCCAGTTTATTTCAGTTCAGCTCAATTTTAATTGAAGCAAAACTTCAAAATAATGTGCTATGAATTTTTAATTAAGAAATTTAAATTTCATTTGAAATAACTTTTTTGTTATTTTTTAAAGTAATTTTTTAATGTAAAATTTTTAAATTAAAAAATTTTTAACTAAAAAAATTCTTTACAAAGCAATAAAAAAGTCGTCCCAAATGAAGCCTTAAAATAAAATTTTAGTATACAAATTTTAATTTTGATACTAAAATTATATTTTAAGAAACAATAAAAAAAATCATTTCAAACAAAACCCTAATTTGCTTAAAATTGGTGTTATATAAGATATTCTAAAATATATTTATCTTAATATAAATCAAATGATTTGAATCCCACTTTAACATATTTTTAATTTGATAATTATAATAATAATAATTTTTTCTATTTTTATTACTCTTAATTTAAAAGAAAATATTTCTAAAGGCAAAACATAGACCAAATCAAAATTTCCACCCAACGACTGACAAGCATTCTATAGCGGGGCCCACCATGCGGTGTGATGGTGGGTGTAACGTTAAGGGAGTGATAATAGCCTTCACTTTTAAAATTTACCAAAAGTGAATGAAAGCGGCATCCTTGGGCCAGAGAATGGGTCGTTATTAACGGTCGGAGACGGCGCCAAACGCCACACTAACGCCGTGATCGTTAGAAATGCAGTCCGTATAATACCGGCATTAATGCAAGGTGCTCCCCCTAATCAATAATCATTAAATCATATTATCTGATATTTTAAATCAAGCAATTTATTTATTTTTTATTATTATTTAAGTTTAATTATTTTTTAGAGATAAAAATCATTTATTAATTTAATATTATAATAAAATGTTTTAGGATCAAAATAAATTTTAATTATGTAAAATCTCATTTAGACTTTTATTTAAAAAATTACGGATTAAAAAATGAGATTTTTAAATAGTTGGTATTATATTGATGTTTTATAAAAATTCGAAAATTATTTTAATTTTTATTTATATTTAAAGTAAAAGAAATAAAGGTAAAGACAATTTAAATTATCATAATTTGAATTTGCTAACTTATTTCATTAATTTTCTTTGGAATAAACGAAAAGTGGTAATAATCACTCATAATCGCTAACAAAGAACAATTAGGCTAAATAAATTATAATAATTTAATTAACATAATCACCGGCGTCAGCGAAGTCTCAAATGGAGGACAACAGAAGCCGGGGAAGAGAAAACTCCCCCGATCGAAGGAGAAGGAGAAGGAGAAGGGTCCTGTGATCCAATATCGAAGTGCGAGGTGTTCCCGCTGCTCTAAATTTCTCCGCCGGCAGCACAAATCGCCGCCGATTGTCCTTTTTCCGGCGGCGGATCTGTCGCAGGTTGTTCTATTTGCTGTCTTTGCATTTCTTCCATCTGGCATTTTACTCTTACTTCGTCTACACCGCGTTTCTTCGTCATTTCTCCTTATCCCGTCAGCCGGCTTCCGGCTTTCTCAAAATTTGAAGTTTCTTGTTGTTGATTCACTGGAAAGGATCCGTGTTACTTGGCGATAGCCTCGCATTTTCCGTTTTTGTTGATTATTATTGTCTTTTTTGTTGGATTCAAGCGGTTTTTCATGGATCTTAGTAAAAGTTAGGATTTTTTTTATAGTTTCGGCCTTTTGAAATGTTTTTTGGGCTCTGGGGGTTGCAGGGTTCTTGAATTGTCTTCGTGTTTGTTGAGTTATTCGAGTATAGGGGAAATGGATAGCTTGCAGAAGAAAGGGAGTGGGACGCCGGTTTCTCCTTGTGATACTCCTAGATCGAGCGAGAAATTCGGAAGAGATCTCCGATCTGGCGATGGAACCGGCCATTTAAGCTGTAAGAATGATAAGGATAAGGGCGTCAACGTTCAGGTCATCCTCCGATGCAGGTGAGTGACATGTCAAACCCAATAAGCGATATTTTGACTAAATCGCTGTAAATTCTGAACTGTTGCTGTAATCATTTGAATTTGATAGACCTTTGAGTGAAGAAGAGGCGAGGTTGCGGACGCCTGTGGTTATATCCTGCAACGAGCCGCGGCGGGAAGTATCGGCAATGCAGAATATTGCAAACAAACAGATCGACAGAACGTTTGCGTTTGACAAGGTTTAAAAATAAAGTAGTGAAATTTGATTTTCTGAAGTTTGATTTATGAATTTAGGCTTAACAATTCTTCGCTGTTTCCATGTAGGTTTTTGGTCCAACATCCCAACAGAAGGATTTGTTCAATCATTCTATCTCTCCTATTGTGAATGAGGTTCTTGAGGGATACAACTGCACGATTTTTGCATATGGGCAGACTGGTACTGGCAAAACATACACAATGGAAGGTGGAGGGAAGAAGGCTAAGGTGATTTTTTGATTTTTTTTTTTGCTTGCCTACCTGCTTCTGTATTTTCCTTTGAAATTTTTTTGGATTAACGTTATGTTTTGGCATATTCTAGAATGGAGAGTTCCCAAGTGATGCTGGTGTGATCCCGAGGTCTGTTCGCCAAATCTTTGATACACTAGAAGCACAATGTGCAGAGTACAGCATGAAGGTTACTTTTTTAGAGCTGTACAATGAGGAAATTACAGATCTTCTAGCTCCTGATGAATCAAAGTTCCCTGATGACAAATCAAAGAAACCTATAGCTCTAATGGAAGATGGGAAAGGAGGTGTATTTGTTAGAGGGTTGGAGGAGGAGGTGGTTCGTACAGCCAGCGAAATATACAAGATATTGGAGAAAGGTTCTGCAAAGAGGCGAACTGCCGAGACTCTACTAAACAAACAAAGCAGTCGTTCTCACTCCATATTTTCCATCACAATTCACATCAAGGAGGTTACTCCAGAGGGGGAAGAAATGATCAAAATTGGGAAGCTTAATCTTGTTGATTTAGCTGGTTCAGAGAATATTTCAAGATCAGGTGCTAGGGATGTAAGTAAAACTTCCTGTCTACTTTACAAGAACACACTGCCTTATATTTTTCACAGTCTCAATGCATGAAGGATGCATAGAAATGTCACTAGAATGCAATTGAGGGACTTTCATGTTTGAAGGATAAGTATTACTTTGGGTTGTGATGAGTTTCCTCATTGCAGGGTAGGGCAAGGGAAGCTGGAGAGATAAACAAAAGTCTTCTTACACTGGGTCGTGTCATTAATACACTAGTAGAGCACTCTGGCCACATTCCATACAGGTGGCTACAAGTTTCTTCTTTTTTCTCTATTGAAATATGGAAATATGTTGAACTTTCTTTCATTATGAATTTTTTGAATTTCGTATTGCTTGGTCTACTAGAGATAGCAAGCTAACAAGATTATTGAGGGATTCCTTGGGTGGGAAAACGAAGACTTGCATCATTGCTACCATATCACCTTCAATTTACTGTTTGGAAGAGACACTGAGCACCTTAGATTATGCTCACCGTGCCAAAAATATAAAGAACAAGCCAGAGGTAATGTAACTCATCTCAAATGGCTATTTGATAATGTAGGTGAAAACACTCTAAATAATGTAGTGCTGACCTTGAAAAATTTTCCCTTTTTGCAGGTTAATCAAAAGATGATGAAATCTGCAATGATCAAGGATCTATACTCTGAGATTGATCGTCTTAAACAAGGCCTGTGCTGATGAAATTCTCTCTCTCTCTCTCTCTCTCTCTCTTATATTTGCTAGTTTTTATGACACCTACTTATTTTGCAGAGGTATATGCTGCTAGGGAGAAAAATGGCATCTATATTCCTAGGGATCGTTTTCTGCAAGAAGAAGCTGAAAAGAAGGTTGGCATATAGTGTAACTGATATTTAGAACTGCATTATGCTATTCATTCAAGTAATCATGTCTGTTTATTTAAGGCTATGGCGGAAAAAATTGAACGTATGGAAAGCGAATCGGAATCGAAAGATAAGGTATCTTCCCTAGCTCAATCCTTTTTCCCCCCTATAGTGAAATTTTGTGTACTTCTAACTGTTCGATATGATTCTTTGACCAGCAATTAGGTGGTCTTCAAGAGCTTTACAATTCTCAACAAAAATTGAGTGCAGAACTAAGTGAAAAACTTGACAAAACCCAGGTATTGTTAACTTCAATCTGTGCATCAATAGCAACACCTGACAAGAACGAATATTCATTTTTATCTGCTGTTGGTGCAGAAAAAATTGGAGGAAACTGAAAATCAACTTCTTGACCTTGAAGAAAGATATCGACAGGCGAAGTGCACTATTAGAGAAAAGGAATATTTGATATCGAATCTCCTCCAATCAGGTTTATAGAATCTCATAATGATAATGAGTTTTCTTTGTGGATTAAGAGCTTTCTATTTCTCAAACTGCTGTCTTTATAGTTATATTTGTATTTTGTGAGTGGTTTATACATAAATTGCTGTATCGCCATCACCCATCTTTTATTAAGATAGCTTGTGATTATAATTGCTCTTTACATGCTAATGCAATTTAATTTTGCAGCTGATTTGAATGATGCATTTCCTAATATTCTGACAATAATTTTATCTACCCATTTAATGATATATTTCCAACCATTTATTATTCATGCCCAAATCACTGATGTATTTTCAAATATGTTATTTTCCAAAGATGACACTCCAATCATTATTCTAATCTAATTGTTCTTTAATTTATCCTTTTTAATTTTGTTATACATTCATTTTAACATCCTTATTTCTGTCACACACAGGAACTAGTTACCGATGATTTTTTACTATATGCTCAAATTCATACAATATAACTAACCCAATTGTAGCTTTATAAATTAAACTTTCGGTCTCCATGATAACTTTTTATATTGTGATAATCTCAAGATACTTTTTTATTTTACCCACATAATTTTAATTATAGAAATTTTATCCTCTTGTTTTTATTTAATAAATCCAAGATACTTATGTTTAGGTACCAATTTATCTTCTAATAATATCGGTTTTTAATTGTTAAATTACACTTACTAAACTTACATATCATATACTTGATCTTTGTCCTACCAATTTAAGCCTTCTATCTTCTAAGCATTTTCTTTCATTATGCTTTTTTTTTCAGATGTCTGACCAATTAGAAATATATTGATTCAATGCTAATCCTTGACGTAATATAGCTGTAATTAAAAATTCTTATTTCAATTCAAAACTTTTAATAATAGTTCATGCTCAATTATATATATCTTTAATAATTTTAACATACATTTGACAAACACCTTTCTTCCATAATTCACATCAAATTAAAATTTATGGAAGTCGATCATATGATTATTTAAGTTTAAGAAAAATCATATGAAGATACTTTTCTTTTCTCTCTATATTTTTTTCTTTCCTCTCTATTTTTTCTGTACTTTTCTTTTTTCCCAAGCCCCAAAGATAATTTGTTTTTTTTTGGCTTTCAGAGAAATCGCTCGTTGAGCGTGCACATGGCCTTCAATCAGAGTTAGAGAATGCTGCTGCTGATATTTCTGGATTGTTCTCTAAAATTGGTCGGTGTTTTCTGCTGTTTATGCCCAATTGGAACACCTCATTGTTTTTGTTGCACATTCGAAATGTTAAATGAGATGCACAATTTGTACTAATAGTTTCACGTTTGATAACTTTTCAGAACGCAAAGATAAGATAGAGGAGGGAAACAGAATTCTTGTGCAGCGTTTTCAATCTCAGTTGACTCAGCAGTTGGATGTATTACATAAGACTGTCTCCTCTTCTGTGACACAACAGGAGAACCAACTGAAAGAAATGGAAGAAGACATGCAATCTTTCGTCTCTGCAAAGATTACGGTACATTTAAGCTTCGTTTGGGACGGCTTTTTAATTGCTTCTTAAAGTAAATTTTTAGTATAAAAATTAAATTTTTTTACTAAAAAACTGCTTCTTGAAGCAGTAAAAAAGCCTTCCCAAACAAAGTCTTACACTTGATAAATCTGCTTCAACTTATTGCACATATTAAACCATCCTATGGCCTTGTTTTATTCTTACTTAACAAAAAAATTCTCAGGCTACCGATGAACTTAGAGGACTGGTTGAAAAATTGAAAGCCATGTATGGATCTGGGATCAAAGTATTGGATGATTTGGCTGGAGAACTAGATGAAAATTCTCAATCAACTTTTGGGAATTTGAAATCACAAGTGCTAACACATTCTTCTGCTCTTGAGGATGTGAGTAAAATTTTCTACTCCTTCACACCATTCAAGTTAAGCAGTGGCTACTGAGGATTTAATTGAATTCCCTTTTATAGTGCTTTAAAGGTTTTGCTTCAGAGGCTGATAATTTGCTTGGTGAGCTTCAAAGAGCTCTTTTTAACCAAGAGGATAAATTAAATGCATTTGCACGGCAGCAACGTGAGGTTGATGAACATCATAGATTAAGTTTTTGTTCTTTTTTAATGGCTGTCCTTGCGCTCACTTCTAATTTTGCATGTGGTGCTAAACCAGGGACACCTAAGAACTGTGGAGACAACACGCTCTATCTCAAATACAACCATTAATTTTTTCGACACACTAGACATTCACGTATCAAAATTAAGCAAAATTTTGGAAGAAACTCAGACTTCGCAATACCAGCAGCTCAGCGAGCTAGAAAGGAAGTTTGAGGTAATTCTTTTCTGCAGTGCTTGAATGCTTGGTGTTTCTGATATCAAATTCTTTAAGCTGTATTACTACATGCTATCATGTAGGAATGTGCTGCCAATGAAGAAAAGCAATTGCTAGCGAAGGTGGCAGAGATGCTGGCAAGCTCAAGTGCTAGGAAAATAAGTTTGGTAAGTAAAATGTTTTATATTTTCATAGAATTTTTCTTTGGCTCTTCCTTCTGGGCTTGTCTTTGTTGAAACTTTGAAAATCCTAAGCTTTGTAGGGTACGTAATGCTTTTTTAGCAGCTTTGATTATCAAATACTTGACATATGGCAATTTTTATGCGTGGGGATCATATGGTAAAAAACGTTCTGTTGCAATTGCGCCTCATTTATGGCTTGAAGGCCATGGGGAAACACACTTGCTGAGTAGTTTGTCCATATATTTGTGAGAATAGCCGATGCAGGATGGTTGATGGCCTAGAGTTTTTAAAACTTAGGATGATATATAAGATGAAAACACAAAAAAAATCATAATTTTAGTCGGACTTGTAAATTTTAATGTAAGGTCAGCAAACATGTTTTATTAAATCCGTAAGAGAATTTAAAATTTCTCAAAATCTAAGGAACATAAAATTCTGACAACGATCAAAGTCGTGCTTCCAAAAAGAAACAAAATATATCTTGATCAACTTTTTATCACATTGTAAAATCAATGATTAAGCAATTTCAATGATAAGAATAACATTAGAAATGAGAAAAGAACCAAATGGTCCATTGACTCTTTATAAAAGATCAAATATTACTATAATGAGATTATTTTGATGTTTCTCTTTAAGGATTTGAGGGACTAAAATGATCTTTTAATACTGGAGTCTATTTTGATCTTTCATAAAGAATCAAGATATTATTTTGATCCTTTTCCCAAATTCTCCATTAGAAATCACCCGCAAAAGAAAAAAATCAGATTTTTCTCTGATATATGGAGTCTCCCTCCCCTCAGAAAAAGTCATGAAGTACTTGAAAATACACATATTGTAAGTACCCGCATCAAGAGAGGAAAACTATAGTTCTATAAAAGTAGCTGATGTTCAACTATTTTTACCTGTCACAGAAGTTCTATTTATAGCCTTTAAAGGCCAAAATAAAAACCACACAAATTTTGTAAAAAATTACGCAGATTTAACATTTAGAATCTTTTTTGTAAATTTTACTTCCTGTGTTGCTCAAGGATCCAACAAAAACAGGAAATTACCTTCCCAGACACTGATGCAACACAAGGGAATCAACAATGGCATAATAACAGAGGCAGTGGAGGCACCTAGTAGTAATAGTGGAAAGGTAAACAACGAGAAACAACGAACTATAGCAATGCAGTGGAGAACAGAACAATAAGAATTTTCAGGGCCGCATAAACAAAAAAAATAGAAACAACAAAGGACTACAGTGGGCATCCAATAGAGAAAACACCCTAAAAGGGTGACAGGACAGCAACCATAAACATAAGGACAACAATAACAGAATGAAACTGTAATTATAATTAGTGGAAATAGGAATAACAGTGAGTAGTAACTAACAATTGATATGGTGTTAATGATTCTAAATTCCATCTGTGTTGATTGGAATTTAATGAGCTCAGTTGAAACAATATAGTAATGGTTAGGCCTAACATATTTTTCATAATACTTTGAGAACACATCTTGTTCATATAGATAATGATGAGGCTAATTGCTTGAAATTTTGTTCATTTAGTAGCTTTTGCTTGTCAGTTCAGTACATGTGACCGTTTGCATGATCTATGGTTTCATTTATTCCAGGTTCAAACAGCAGTTGATACTCTCAGAGAAAACGCTGCTGATAGAACAAGCAATCTACAGAAGGAAATGTCTAATGCTCATGATTTCACCTCATCTGTCAAAGAAAAATGGATGGTTTACATGAACGAAACTGAAAAGAATTATCATCAGGATACTATAACGGTCGATAGTGGAAGATGTTGCTTGGAAGAAGGTCTGAAGGATTGGTATGTCAGCCATTGCCAGTTCCATAAACCAACTTACTTATTATGCTTGAAACTGATCAGATCCTAACAATTTGAACTTTCGTCCAGTCTGGAAAAGGCCAAAATGGGTTCAAGACAGTGGAAAGATGCTCAGGATTCTCTGCTGAGCTTGTGGAAAGGAAATGTTGCATCAGTGGAGTCAATTGTTTGGTGAGTAAGAGTACCAAGATCTTGCTAACACACTTACTAATAGATGATAGGGCACTGGTAATTTAGTATCAGGTGGCTCTTAGGTCAGTGATACATAGATTTGATTAAAATGCTAAAGCTTTAAACTTGCTAACAATAGGAATGGAATGGAGGCCAATCAGCTATTACGAGCTAAGTTGTCTTCTGCTGCTTCAAATGCACTTGGGGATGTTGATAACGCAAACAACGGTCTTCATTCCTCTATAAACTGTGAGTTTCTATCATTTCTCCACTTGTTTTGTGATAGGAAATACTTGAGTTCGCAAGTAATCCTCTCGAAAATACTGGAGTTCGCAAGCAACCCTAGCAAAAATTGGTGAAAAATCAGCAAGAATAATATGAGAACTTCAAGAAAATATGCTCCAAACATCAGATTTTTATAAGGGAAATCAAAGCAAATCAAACACAAAGCAAAGATACAGTTGATCATCAATTCGAGAGGAGGATCGTCTCTCAAAATCTCTAAACAAGAGTTTAGAGCCCAAACACCAAAGAACTTCAACAGAACAAACAATACAAGCATGCCCAGCCCTAATCCCTCATGCCCTTTAAATATAAAATATTATTTATCTAATATAAAAGATATCAAATCTTTTTAATTAATTAGATCCACTTTCCCTATTGACTTGCTGCCTCTCCTCTTTTTGCCGCCAATGTGGGTCCCACCTCTAGGTGAGGCGGTTTGGGCCGCCTTTGGTACCACCAGCCCCATCTTGGCGGTTCAATATGAACCGCCCTATCATTTTGTTCAGTTGAGCATCTATGACCTATGTTGTGATTACAATCTTTGACGCAGAAATGATAGAAACTTGGCTTCTTGAAAATTGTAAATCAATCTCATCTTTCCTCTTGAATCTGCTTAAAAACCAGGTTCCCTGAAACTTGACCATGATGCAAGTGCGAACATCGACTCCATCATCGTGCCATCACGAGGTGATCTAAGGAACTTGAGGAGTGGACACTATCACAGGATCGTTGAGATCACAAATAGTGCTGGAAAATGCTTGGAAGAGGAGTACACGGTAACTATCATGTTCTTATGCACAACATAAACGAATCCATTAATAGGTAACAAAACAGTCCATCAGTATTCACGAATCCCAAACACTTGGCCAGGTGTATGAACCTTCTTGTTCCACACCAAAAAGGAGATCAATCAATTTGCCCACTGTGGCATCCATTGAAGAGCTGAGAACACCTCCATTTGAGGAGCTACTCAAAGGGTTCTGGGAATCGAAATCTGCAGCCAAGCAAATAAACGGGGATGTGAAACATCTTTCTACAGCATTTGAGTCTCATTCGCAAGCCTTAAGAGACTCTCGAGTTCCCCTTACAACATTAAATTGAGAGAGTTTACAAATGGTCAACTTGCCTGCAATATGTACAGGTTAGAGGTTGCAGTTTATTCATTTCTTATCATCTTTTTTCCTGATTGTTTTGAGTGTTTATCTTATCTTATCGAACGTTCGATGGTGGGAAAGCGTAAATTTGTTACACAATATGAAATATGTAATATTCTTTATCTATACCAGTGACAAATAGAGAGTTTGACGCCATTGTTTGGTTTTCATATTGCGAAAGAAACAAACTGGGCGCCAAATTCAATTATTGTCTTGCTGAGAACTTTACTCTTCAGACTATAGCCAAAATTTATGTTTTGTTAATGCTTTTTCATTGGTTTTTAAAAAAAATTGTTGCTAGAAAGCTACGTTCTATCAGTTTTAGATCTCGTTTGGGATGGTTTTTTCCCTGCTACCTAAAGCAGCTTTTTAATACAAAAAAAAAAATATTTTTTTTACTAGAAAGTTACTTGAAGAAGCAGTAAGAAAGTCATCTCAAACGAAATCTTAATAAGTTAGTTTCTATACAACAATTTTATAAAATAATAAGAAAATTGCCTGAAAGAAACCTCAAGAGATGTAAATAACAGCTACTTTTGAGGCTATATTAATGATGAAATGAAGAGGGTTAGCAGTTTGCTTGGTAAGGAATGAGAGAATCAGCTAAGCTTCTGTTATGTCACATTAAGTCCAACTTTACATCTCCTATGGTGAAGTAGGGTCATCATAACATCTAAATTTAAATAAATGTTTATACGAATATGTATGCGTTGTTCATTTTATTTGTTCTTTATGTTATAAAAATCAAATAAGATCCATAAATCAATGTAAATCCAGATAGTTTTGTTACCATTATTTTTTTGGACTATTGAGTCAATTAATGCAAGCTCATATAAATCACATATGCAAGTTCTGAATTTAAGACCGTTTGTTTGATAGTCAAAGCTTCCAACAAAGGGCATCTCCAACCGAATACCCCATTTTTCACGGCAAAATGCAGCAAAACTTCAAAATGCGGTAATTTTGCTCCAATCGAACTCCAATTTGCGGGCTTCCCTCGTCGTAACCATCATTCTCCATTTCGAGGGTAAATCCTGTTGACACATAAAAATTTAGCTTGTGAACAGTGCGACGTCAATATTGACATCGCATTGTTCATCAGCATAAAAAATGCCTGAGAAAAAGATGTTCGGTTGCGACGTTTGAGGGCCTCCATTCGGTTGTTTGCCGAACGGCTGGAGATGGTCTAATGGATCAAGACGAATTGAGTAACGAAGCCTAAGTTCAAAAGAAGAAAAAAATTGTAAGGACTATCTAAAGAGGGAGAAATTATTTTGTATGATCACCGGACCGTCTGGAGGTGAATCAGAGCTCGTCATGTCACCTGATACATAGTGGGTACAAAACCGCTGTACAAAGCAAAAAGATGATGTAACACGCTCTTATGTGCATAGAATAATTTCACCTAAAGAGGTTGCCAGAATTCATTAGTTGACACTGTAAGATGGGTTACTTCTGTCCACAACATGAGTGGAGACGACATCTTCATAACCTGTTTATGGCTTAAGGATCATGGTGGATATGAAAATGTTATGTGAACCACTATGAATTTTAATATATGAGGTTCTTGCTCAATTTTTGAGTACTTTTGGTTGCAGCCACTATAGATCTAAGGATGGGGTGACGAAGAGTTCGCAAGGAAAATTAGTAATCTTTTTTTTACTAAGGTTTTGTTTGGGACGGTTTTCTTACTGCTTCTTAAAGTAAATTTTTAGTATAAAAATTAAAATTTTTATATTAAAAAGCTACTTTATGAAGCAATAAAAATGTCGTCCCAAACGAAACCTAAATCTTTTTATGATCTCTCTATATTGGAATTCCTAATTAATGGTGTATCCTTTTACATTTAAGAACTCCAAAATACCATAAATTGATATTAAATCCAAAACTAATCGATCTGCGTGTTAAGTTTGTGTAATATGCTCATTTGTAGGATATTAATTAGGCTCCATAATTTAACAAATAGTGCCATCTTTATCATTAGTTGAATGAAACATCCATAAAGATGAAGATGCAAATATGTTATTAATTGCATAAATTGATTGATCTTTGCATGTTCCTAAATGATAAATGAAGTTTGGCATGTTATCCAAACATTCAACTGATTAAGCATGAATTTTAATGCAACCTTTAAATTAAAAATTTTTAGAACAAAATTTAGAATTATTCGAACTTAGATTTTACCATTTTTTTTTTCTCGAATGGAACATATTGATGAGGCAGTCCAATGATATCAAACATGTTTCAATTTGAATCCAAGTAAGCTTAAATCAAACACTTGAAATACAGCTGGAAGCTTCACATGCATTGATTGAAAGAACTAAATAATATTCAAATTTTGTGTGCTTATAGTCAAAATGAGCGTATAGATTAGTGGAATCTAATGATCCTAATTCCATTCAATTTGAGGTAAATAAGGCACTAAAATTTTTTAAAATATATATAATCATGGAAATTAACATGGGCTATCTGATAAAATATTTTGAGGATTTTGACTAATGTTGATATTCATAAATTAGTACAAATAAAACCAATTGTTCAAAATAAAGCATTCTACAGCAAATTAAAAGTTTTAATGTGAAATATTAGTTATACTCATTAAAATGTATTTTTACTCTTTATATATTTACATAAATATTAGAATTGAAATCAAAAATAGGATATTGGGAGTCAACATTAAGCACAATGTTTTTCCAAACTCAAAGCTAGGGCCTCCAAATCTCTCTCTTTCTTCTTTCTCTCTCCTCTCGCTCTGCTTCTTCTCTTCTCCAACAAGTGAGTAGTCGTAAATATTCAAAATAAATACAATATGCATCAAATCAATTTATTTTGAATATTTATGACTACTCCCGCGTGGTCGCTCCAGTGCCGTCGCTAATCCCATCACAATAATAAATAATTTGCTACCAAATCAAATTGCGATCTTGGTTCTTTGTTTGGTCATCTGATCCAAACGGATAATGCAACCGCTATGGCTTTCAGACCATCGGTTGCTCGCATTCTTGTTGAACTGGACAATACAAAGGAGTATCCTGAATCGATTTGGCTTGGACCAGAGAAATACAAATATATTCATAAGGTGGTTTTTGAAGATTTTCCTAGCTTTTGTTCTCATTCTAGAGCATAGGGTCATAAAAAAGCTGAATGCCTTATTTTACTCCCCCATTTGAGGAAATTTGATATTTCTAAATTTGATCTGAAAACAAATATTGGCCATGTTCGTGCTGGGGATTCTGATAAGGTGCTTTTGAACGATCATAATTCCTCTTGATAATATACATTTAAGAAAGTGATGGGGACATCAGATCAGCATGGAAGGTTTATCAGATATGTGACCGCCGATCTACGGCCATGATCGAGTCCTTGTATTTCTGAGTCATGATTGTATTTTATTTTATTTATGCATTTTCTTATTTTCTTAGGTGTCGTTATTATTTCCCTTTGTACCCCTTTCATGAGAGTGGTCGCATGTAAGCCCAAAGGGCAAGTTGGTCTTTTATTTTCTTGAGTCTTTGTACCCGACTATTTATAGCCTCATTTCCTTTGTTTTGAAGGAATGAATGTTTGCTTATGAATTTTCTTCTTGGATGAGTTTGAGAGAGCTTGTGAGTTCTAATGGAGAGAAATCCCTAGGAGAGGGAGATCTGTGCAATACCCACCAACTTGGATAAGTCGGGTTCGTGGTTTTTTTTTTTTTTTCTTTCCCTTTTGTTTATTGTTCCTCCCCTTCCTCCTACCACCACCGCCGGCCAACCATCCCCTCACCCGACCTTCACCCCACTCAAAACCCATGGTTCACAACCCCTACCCGAGCCCCTAAGCCACCAGCCCCAACTGCTTAGCCGCCGGTCGGTCCACCTATCTCCTCCCCCTTTGGCCCCTTGTCACCCTGAGTTTCCTAATTGGATGTGGTTGAATTTGGGATGAATTTAATTTTAATTTCATTTGAATTCAAATTCAAAACCTTCCCTAAAATAACCCATTTATTTTAGGAAAGTATTCAATTGGGGATTTATTTGAAATTCAAACACAATTGGATTTCAGACAAATCTTTCCTAAATCCAAATCTGAATTTAGTAACCTCAATTGCTGGCATTTAATTCCCTCCCTAGCCCTTCACTGTCGCCGGCCCCATCATAGCCTCATAGGGGAAATATTTCCTCAATCAATCATTGGTTTTTGGGAAGTAATTTCACATCTCCCATAGATTTTCCTGGGCCGAATCTATTCAATCCCCACCTCTTTATTTTTCTAAAATTGTTTTCTGAACTAGGAAATAATTTCCTGGAAATCCTCTCTCACGTACCCGCCAGCCTCCCATTGGAAATTCTTTTGAAATTCTCTCTTAGTGCTAGATTTCTCTGTGATAATAAGTTGGAACTCCTCACCTACTGCTGACCGAATTTTCCAAGGGCTAATCTTGGGTCTTCTCGACTAAATTTTCATAATGTCATTATGAGAATCTGAAACTGTTTTCATGTTTCAGCATTTGGCTCTTTCCCCTCCCACAAGACAAGCGAAGTCTCTTTCTTTTCAAGAGATCCGATTACATCATCCAGAAGAAGGAGGTTGATCGTACTATATATTGAGGACGACTTGGATGACGTCTTGTGCGTTCTAATGGAAATAACGAGCATGTCGAAGGCCTTGAGTGGAGGATCTTCACGTCTCTTTAGCAAAGGTTTCTTTTCTCACTTGTATCTTGTTTCTTTGAAATCTAAATTCTCTTTGGCTTGATTGTAATCGCAAAGTCTCATCCAAGTGCTCTTGCTAAGCCTAGTAATTCGTAGGTTATTGAGTGTCCTTTCTTTGCATCCTAGATCTCGTTGTTAGACTAGGGATTACATTGAAGACTACTATTTTGCATTGTTTCAATTGTCTTATTTATTTTAAAAATTTCAAAGCTTGGAGCATGTGATTTAGCCTACGCAAAGCATCTCTTTATTTGTTTTAGTCGACGTTGAGAATTGCTAATAATTTTAATCCAAAACTATTCTAATCAAAGAGTTGTGCAATGCCTAAAAGGAAGCCATAAGCATGTCATCTAATTAGTCCTGCATCATAAAGGGTTCTTTAATTTCTCCTATTATGCCTCCTTTTGAAGTTGTTTGTGTTAACAATATTGCCGATCACCTCTGGTTTCTCCCTCTGGCGCTAATTCTTTCAAAATTTTGGATTGGGATGGTGTTCGAATGGATAACATTAATCTTATCTATGATACTTCTGGTAAGCATTTAATTTCTTCAACGGCTAGTAAGAATTTG